AAATATTACTATAAAAGCTAATTACAATATAATAATATTATCAACTTAATGTTTATACATATGTATATTCCGGAAAATACTTACATGCGTCTCTTCGCGCCACCAAGTAGTAAATTATCGATGGATGAAAAACCATCGATATATCATGAAACCCCAAATCTATCGATACTATCGATAGGCCCCATCGATGGATTTGCAGCCCTAGTTGGCAGCCCTGCACTCAACTGTGTATTAACTGTGTATAAAAAAAATGAGCTTTCATAGCAGTATTTTGCTTAAGGCCTAACTCTAAAATTTTTAACATAGCAGAGATAAATTATGCTTTCACAGCAGTCTTATACATTTCACTAAAATTAAACAGAATTATATATTATTTAAGAGGGAACAGAAGATACCATCAACGGACAAAATTTGATTGCAATTTCAAATAAATTAGGATAGGTACTTTTCATACCTTCCCAAAAAGAAAAAAAGTTGCTTTCAAACGGGCTTAACTGCATTCGCAGATAATGRTGTTTTGCAAAACATCGATGCATCGCTCAACATCGGTATCAGCGAAAACATCGGTCAAACTTGGTAATAGAACATCCATGCTCGATGCATCGATGATTTTTTACATCACTAATTAAGACACTGTCGCAACCAACATGCTGTAGCATTGATGATATCGATGTATTACAAAGCAATGTTTTTAGTTAATAATTATTTGTATATTTTTTAATTTTCTTATTACTGACACTTAGAAATTTTTAATGTCCGCATTTCCGGATTCTAAATCAAGTATTGTCGGCCGATTGTTATAATAATTCGAGGTTAATCGAATGTTATATTTGAATTCTTTGCGCTTTCTGTCAAATATAGAAAAGGATTATTTACACAAGTTTATTTTGTTATAGATGCACACTAAAATTTTTTTTTTAAATTAGAATTGAGTGGCTCACAAATGTACTAATTAACTAAGTCGAATACTTTTGATAGTAGTAAAAACACAGCTGTTACAATATGCCGGCTACATTTTGTTTGCTCTTTAAACACAATGTGCAAATCGAATTGGATCTTTGGAGGCGCACTCTATTTGAATGGATAATCGTTATCATAATGTTGATTTTAATACTTGCCAATCCCATTTCCTATTCAAAAAGAGCGCTCTATAGTCGCACTGACTATGAGGGAGACCAGACCATCGTATCCCATAAGCTGGATGATATAAATATACTCACGTAAGCTACATACATATATGCAAATACATGTGCTAGGTGCATTTAATCGAGGTCCAAATGCTGCAACTGGTAGGGGCCTGGTCGACTCAAAGCGTGAGCAAACGAAATATAAGCTGGCCTACTCGCCGGATACGGCATTTGTAAGAAGCGTCGTCGATGTCGTGACATCTGTACTGGAGTTAAATAATTCGATTGGCTATAATGATCCAGAAACCTTGCAAAATCAATTTGATGAACGCACTATGTTGGCTGCTGTTGTTTTTGACAGATTGGATAAAGATCCTGATGCTATTCCAAAAGTGCTCTCTGTATCGATACGTTTCCCCAGCGAATTTCGAACGATTAGTCCATTTCTCACCGAAGACCGTCTATGGCTAACTCGATGCTCAGGCGTTGTTAATTCAAAACGGGATAATGCTAAGGATAATGACGTAAATCAGGATATTTACATACGTGAGGGCTTCCTTCAGCTACAACATCAAGTGTTTTTGGCATGGTTCCACATGCTACGAAGCCAAGATCCATCTAAAGCAACAGAGCCCCAAA